GGAAAGTCCCGAAAAATCTGAATTTCCAGGTAAAATTCTCAGTTTTAAAACCAGGGAAATTGTTTCCCTGGGTGTAAGAGAGTTTTACAAAGACATCCTGAGGCAGAATCTGGATCACCAGGTCATCAGTTTGCTCCTGCTGGATCGCATGATCTTGGTGGCTAGGGAGAATCTGGCCTGTCTGGGTCCTCTCCTGGGGTTTGGCTTGGCCATGGCGGGGACAGCCATGATAGGGTGTGGAGGAGCAGCACAGGTTTCAGGCATCAAGTTTAGCCACAGTACCACCACAAATCTGAGGTTGGCAGTTCAAGTTGGATCACTTGGCTCCCCAGCTGTCGCAGTGCTGTGACCCCACTGGTTCCCTTTGTTTCTCTTGTACTAAGGGTGAGATGCTGAATCTCCCCATGAGTGGGTACCTCCGCAGTGATTGGATATGGGTAGAAAGCCTTGGCTGCTCATGACCACTTCAGGGAGTAGGGTGCTGTTAGGGTAAGAATTTGACTGGACAGCTGAGCTAGGGTGGGAGAGGTAGTATCATGGGAATCATCAAGCTGACTTGGAGCAAGGAGGACTGGTGGGCTCAGGAGGCTGGTAACCTCTCTGAGGACTGAGTGTTCTCCCAACCCTTGGAGGCCCTGGTCTCAGTGTCAAGGGAAAATCCTATGGGATGTCATTTGCCCAGACCAAAGGCGGGGCTTGAATCTCTGCCCACTAGGCATCACTGTGCAGGAGTGAGACTAAGACACCTCTTCACCTGCAGCTGTGTTAGGGGCAGGCTTGAACAGGGTTGGAAGGAGAAAAGAAGACTAGGGCAGCAGCATCTCTTCCCTGGCAGCAGCAGGTCCTTGGGAGTAACAGTTTACATACCTCCCAGAACCAGGCTCATTGGGCCCCTTGGAGACACACCCACACCGGTGCCCCCCTCCTCAGGAGTCTCACAAGGCCTTTGGGGCACCCTCCTGAACAGAGACCTCAGGACCAGCTGAGCAGCGAGTACCCCTCAGGCCCACAGGGCTTTCCCCACGCCAGCTAAGAGACCCAGGACCGGCTCTGGCCAGTGCCCTTCTCAGGGGACTGAGTTTCAGCTCCATGGGAAACTCACTGGAGCTTGTAAGTTGCAATGCTTCCCTTTGTTCCTCGAGACCTAAGGTCTAGCTAGCCTCTTACAGGAACTTTCCCATTCTAAGCTAGATTGCCTTAACCTTCTGTAGACCCCATTCAATGCACAACACCTACCTAGTTAGCTGTGCTTGTCTCTTGACCTAGTTGATCAGGCATGGCACATCACTGCACAGCTGGACTCCTGGTAGAAAACCCAGAGGCATTTCTTCCTCTCTGGGTGTGGGAAGCCGGCGTCCGGCCCCCAGGAGAGCTGAGCTGGGACTGCTTGGGCAGTTCTGCCCCACCTGCTACTGGTCCATTCCCTCAGTGTAAACCGGAAGCTTGGTATAGCGGCAGTCCCACCTTATGAGGAAGGTGATGCTGGGAGCCATCTCTGTCAGGGTGAAGAGGGGGAGTGTTGTGGAGGGGAACTACGTACAGGAACCATGAGGTTGCTGAGAGGCACAGCCCAACACTGCGCAGCAGTTGGAGGGTGAAAGTGAAGAAGAAGGAGGCGCACAGGTGGGAGGCTAGGTGGGTGGAGACCAAGTTTTCCATCTACTGTTTGTGGACCTGGTGGCCAAGGCCTGGCGGACCTCCCTGTACTTATGTAATCGCCAGCCTCACAGCAACCAGGTGAGGTAGGTGTTTGACCACGGCGGAGACTGCGTCCCGACTGGAGCTGCTCGCGCTGTGGATGCGCTGGTGCTGGCAGACCAGGCTTGGTGCTCTGGTGGAGACGGCGGCAGTCCTAGCAGGGGAAGGGCTTCTCTCGTCGGTGGGTGCGCAGATGCTGCGTGAGTGTGAGCTTGCCGCTGGCGGGAGGCCTGCCACCTCAGAGGCATGTAGGCCACAGGTCGCCCGTGTGGATGCGCGGTGTTAGAGTGAGGTTGGCGTGCTGCCGAAGCTCTGGCACTTTCGGGGCGGCGAAGGGCGTTCTCCGTGTGGATGCGCTGGTGCTCTGTGGGCGCGAGACCTGCGTAGAAAGCCCAGGCCGCACTGCCGCAGTGGTGGAGCTTCTCGCCCGTGTGCGTCCTCTGATGGCCGCGTGAGCTTGGCGCTGGCTGGCGCTAGCCACACTCGGGGCAGGCAAGGGGTTTCTGCAAGCCTGTGTCTTGTGCGGAGGTCTGAGTGAGCGTGGGCCGCTGGCGAAGGCCTTGCCACACTCGGCGCAGGCGAAGGGGTCGCTCCCGGTGTGGATGCGCCTGTGCTGCGTAGAGTTGGAGCGCTGCCGGAGCTCTGGCCGCACTCAGCACAGGCGAGCCGCTCCGCTGTGCGGCCCGGTGCTGTAGCAGCACTGGCCCCGGCGGCGCTACGCCGCCTCGGCGCCTTGAAGGACTTGCTCGCCCGTGTGTACTGCCTGGTGCTCCAGCGCACAGGCTGTGTGCTCTGCAGCACTGCTTTGGAAAGAAGGCAGAGGCTGGGGCGCACCAGGAGCAGCGTAGCGCAGAGCCCGGAGGATGCAATGGATCATTAGTGTAAACCAAGTTAGGCCTTTACGGAAGCTCCCAACGCACTCAACAGCTGGAGAATGACCCGCCCGTGTGCACCTCTCGATGCTCTTCAGGCGCGCGTCATCTGAACCCCTGGCACAGTGGCGCACACGAGCCGGGCGCTCCCTCGGTGTCTAGTAAGCTGGGTGGCGCACTTGTAGTGCGACCTGCTGACTGAAGCTGCGGCCGCTTTTCGCTGCACACAGTGGTGATACCCGTGTGGATCTTCTGGTGCCTCAACCCAGGTTGCTCGTTGGCTGAACACCTTACCACACGTGGCAGCCCCTAACCACCCCACCCCGGTGCTGGGGCGGCCCGGCTCCGGCCTGGGGAGCGCCAGTGATGCTGACAGAGCAGAGGCCCCTGCGGCAGGATCCTCCTCCTCCGTGGGGTCTGCTCACTACTCGGGTCAGCTGGGGAGCACAAGCGCATGCGCAAAGCCACTGCCAGCGGGAGGGTGATTGGATCCTAGCCCGAAAAACCCAGCCACGCCGAAAGTCCCAGAGGACGCGTGGAGGTGAGGAGCTTACACTGCACTGAACCTGCGGAGACGCTGTTCAGCTGCAGCGCAAACCCTGTGTGCACAAGGGGACCATTCATTCATGACAAAATGCCCACCGTGCCCGGACCCACGTCAGCCCTAGGGACAGATGCTTCAGACTGCGACACCGACCGCATCCAATGAGCAGGCGGGTGTCAAAGGCAGGGCAAAGGTTCATCTCAGCAAGCTTTTCCCTGATATGAGGTGATAATGAGACAGAGCCAGTGCAAGGAGAGACTGGGCTGAAAAGCTTTCCAGGTCTGATTTTTTTTTTTTTTTTTTTTTTTTTTGAGAGGGAGTCTCGCGCTTTCGCCCAGGCTGGAGTGCAGTGGCCGGATCACAGCTCACTGCAAGCTCCGTCTCCCGGGTTTGTGCCATTCTCCTGCCTCAGCCTCCCTATAGCTGGGACTACAGGCGCCCGCCACCTCACCCAGCTATTTTTTGTATTTTTTAGTAGAGACGGGGTTTCACTGTATTAGCCAGGATGGTCTCAATCTCCTGACCTCATGATCCGCCCGTCTCGGCCTCCCAAAGTGCTGGGATTACAGGCTTGAGCCACCGCACCCGGCCTCAGTCATTCTTTTGACTTAACAGCCATTGCTCAATTTCTATTCCCAGCCTAGACAAAGAATCTGCCCCTTCTTCCACTTGATACAAACCCACACCTCAAACTATCCAGAATCACATACAAACCTGAGGCTCAGCTTTTGATTTCCTCTCCAAACATCTTTCTTGCCCATCCCAAGAAATGCTATCTTCTCTGCCTACCTGTTCAGGCCAAAACCCTCTCACCCATCAAAGGCTGTGTTCCTCCTTCATGTCTCCTTACTGGTTTTGGCAGCCTCTTTGCCGTAGCTTATCCTTATCCTTTTTTTTTTTTTTTTCTTTTTTTGAGATGGAGTCTTGCTTTGTTGCCTAGGCTGGAATGCTGTGGCACAATCTTGGCTCACTGAAACCTATGTCTCCCAGGTTCAAGTGATTCTCCTGCTTCAGCCTCTCGAATAGCTGGGATAACAAGCATGCACCACCATGTCTGGCTAATTTTTGGTAGAGCGGGCTTCTGCTGTGTTGGCCAGGCTGGTCTTGAACTCCTGACCTCGGGTGATCCGTCCACCTCAGCCTCCCAAAGTGCTAGGATTACAGGCGTGAGCCACCATGCCTGGCCAGCTTATCCTTATAGTTATCTTTTTTCTTTTTTTTTTTTTTTTTTGAGACAGAGTCTTGCTCTGTTGCCCAGGCTGGAGTGCAGTGGCACAATGTCAGCTCACTGTAACCTCCTCCTCCTGGGTTCAAGTGATTGTCCTGCCTCAGCCTCCGGAGTAGCTGGGATTACAGGTGTGCACCACCACGCCCAGCTAGTTTTTTGTATTTTCAGTAGAGATGGGGTTTCACCACGCTGGTCAGGCTGGTCTCGAAGTCCTGACCTCAGGTGATCCAACCACCTTGGCCTCCCAAAGTGCTGGGATTCTAGGTGTGAGCTACCGCGCCCAGCCCTGTAATCCCTAACCTTTCAACTTAGCTCCCACTTTGGCCCACAGTTCTGAATTGTCTGGTCCATGCCCAACTCTTGAAGCTCACCTGTCATCTCCTGTTTTGTCGAGGCTCTCTTTTAACATTTGCTGCTCTGTCTGCTTGACACATTCCCTGCCCAGATCTGTAGGCTCACTGTCATAACTCAAGCCTTGGCTCTCATACCAGTTCCTTGGAGGCAGCCTTCCAGACCCTCAAACTAGGGAAGCCCTGCTGACCTTTCACTCCACTCATTTTGCTGAAAGCACCTGTGTTTGGTGTCTGGTCTCTCTTGTTTACTGCTGTTACAGCCGTGCCTGATTGACAGCAACCTGCCCCTGACCACCCACACTCACCATCTGGCCTTGCTTGGCCATCTTCTTAATGTCTGCAATGATTTTCTTCTCCTGGGTCTCTAGTTTCTGTCGCTCGCGGTCCAGCTCCCGCATGGCACGGTTCAGGGCCCTCTGGTTCTGCCGCAGTAGCTCCTCCGGCGTCTTCCGGCGCCCGAACAACAGGTCCATGGTGGTAGAAGCTCACTGGCAGAACTGAGACAGATGTGAGGCCCAGTTGTAGAGCAGGGGGCCCAGAAGGAGGGCAAGAAGCAGAACAGGGTCACGGGAGCCTTGCTAAACGGGAAGGGGCTGAGACTGGAGACAGGAATGAGGGGCCAAAAGGGAACAGCTGAGAACACTGGGATTGTCCCGGGGACACATAAGGGGGACAGGTAGACCTGAAAATTACCCAAGCGCTGGCCCGAGCCCCTCCATCGCCATACCCCCACAGAAGTTACGGCTTCCAAGTTTAGCTTTTCTCTCCAGACCCATGGGTGAGGCCCCGGAGTCCTTGATACGACTGGGGGGGGGGGGGGGCGACGCGAGTTGGCGCACTAGTGTTTTAGGGACCGTGGGCACTGAGCACAGGGCAATTGTGGGGGTTCTGATAGAGGAGGACAGGATGGGCGGAGACCCTAAGAACCAAGAAAGGTGAATGTGGGGCTGTGAAGCTGAGGACAAGGCATTAGAATCTGGGAACCCTGAATGCTGAGGGAGACGGTTGGGAGCGCTGGGGCATCCTGTACACCGAGGACCGGATGATGCAGGTTGGGTCGCACTATACACCGAGGACAGAGTCAGTGGGCCCGGCACCAAAGCAAGGTGGTGTTGGAGACCTCGATGTTGACGACAGGGTCCCAGGGAGAAGCGAGGCACCGGACACCCGGGCGAGTAGAAGCCTCGTACGCTGCCGCCCGCACGCCCGCCCGGTATCCGCGGTCCAGCAGGGGCCACTCACCGGAGCTGGGACGGGCACCCGCTTCCGCTTCCGGGTCACGCTTCTTTCTGGGTTCCCCGACTTGCCCACCTACCAAGGCCCCTCGATCCTGTCGCCTCCGCCGCCGTTTCCGGATTAAACGACGTGACGTAACATGCCCCGCCCGCACCCGGAAGGTTGGGAGGCTCCCAGGAGCGCGCGTGCGTACGTGCCCTGGAATGGGCCAGCGTTCGAGCGCATGCGCAATAGCTCCCGTTGCCTCTGCGCGTCAGTGTTTCATGTTTGAGTCCCGCCCAAGTGACCCCACCAAGCCAGTACCGGGGTGGGCGCTTTCCACCCAACCTCCACTTGAGGGCCCAGCTTGTCCGTGAGACCCTGACTTCTGGCTGAGGCCTCAGATAGAAGGAGCCTCAGGAGGCTCCTCCTCCTCGGTGGGCCCACCCACACAAGAAAGGGGCAAAGCTAGAGATGGCTTGTTTCTTCCACTGTGCTGCCCTCTTGGCCAGGAACCCAGAGGTCACTGGATCCTGCCTACGCTTCTCATCCTAGAGTAGGCTTCATCCCAACCAACCCCAGGCTCTAGCCTGGTATCCCCACCAACTCGAGAGCTGCCCCAGGCATTGGGCAGCCTGTTGTAGGGTGCTCCAATGCCACCTGTGACCAGACGTTCCACCACCCCAGCTTTGCAGGCCCTAATGGACCTCAGCTGCCCCACCCACCCCATAGAAGTAAGAAGCAGAGGCCATGCAGTAACATTCCCCTTTAATAGCCTGGTGCGACCTCCAGAGGTGGAGGGGTGGGTTGCCTGGGCCCAGCTACCCAGGCCCCTTGCCCACCCACTCCACAGCCCAGAGTGGGGGCTGAACAAGCACCCAGCAGGGGGGCTAGACAAGCCAATTCATTTCCCATCGCTGAGTGGGTCGGGGGAGGCAGAGCCGACCTTAATCACATGGTGGTAAAAAAAAAAAAAAAAAAAAAAACTAGGGGCAAGTGGCAGGAAGGGGAGGTAAGGCCAAGGCAGGGAATTCCCCCACGGGCCGCCCCCCAAACCCCTACCGATGGCCCCCAATAAATATTTGCAGGGGATGCCAGGGCTTGTGGCCGTGGCGGGGGTGGGTATGCGCCAACCCTATTTCAGGCAGCGCTCGAAGTAGGTGGAGCCGATGTAGCCACCGCGCATGGAGCGCTGCACGTTCTGCTCAAACAGCCGCCGGTTGTTCTGCAGGACCTCTGCAGCCTCCTTGTTCAGTGGGTCCTCGGGGTTGGGCTCCTGTGGCCAGTACAGGTGGGGGGGTCAACAGGCCAGAGGGACAGAAGGCCAGTCTCCCCAGACCCAACCACCTATTCCTACTCACCAAGAAGAGATACTGCAGGCCATAAATTATGGAGTTTATCGTAAGGACTGGCTTCCAGTCCTCTCTGTGGACAGAGAGCATCAGGGTCAGAGCTTGGTGAGGGGGAGACTGCCACAGGCCCCTCTGGTATTGGGCAGGTCAGATCCAGGGCATAGGAGAGTGAGCATGTGAGAGGCTGGGAGGGAGGGTGTGGAGCAGGCCAGGCCAGGGAGAAAACCAAGGTCAGGCCATGAGGAAGATGACTGGGAAATGAAGAAACCACAAACAACAAAGGGGTGGGAAGGGACAGAGTCTGATGTAGTGCCCACAAGACCATGAGGGGGACCTGGCAGGCAGGGCTGGGGAGGGCAGTAGAGGGCCCGTGCCTTCACCTGAGGATGTTGAGGCAGACGTTGCCCTCGAGGTCAATGTTGGGGTGATAGACCATTGTCTCACACTTCACCTTGGGGGGATCATGTGGGTACCCCTGGCCCACCTGGCTCCAGGAAAAGAAAGGAGAGATGGGTAGGTCCCTGGAAGGGCCTCAGCTGCTGCCTCCTCAGTCCAGGGAGCCATCCCTGCCTGCCTGGGACTCACCTTAAAACTGAACACAAACTTTCCACTCTTGTAGAAGCCCTGGGAGGGAAAGGGGGAGAAGAAAATTTTAGGGTTCCATCCTGTGGGGCCTGATGGGCAGAATATGTCTCCCTCCTCTCAGTGGGGACACGCTTGGTCTGCTCCTGGGAATTCAGCCATATGCACCCTCACCTCATCAGGACAGATGACCAGCTTGAAGTTGAGGAGGTCGTCTGGATCTGAGAAGCTGATATCACACGTCTTGGGCAGGTTCAGCTCGTTTATGTCTGGGTTTGGGCAGCAGAGAGTGGGGGTCAGAAAGAGGGAGGGGAAGAGAGAGAGACAGGGAGCCAGCAGGACACTTAGGGCAGGTGTTTGTTAGCAGAACCCCCATGGTCTCCTCCTAGACCCCTAGGCCTCTGTCCTGGGCTGTGCTCCACACCTCCAGCCCTCTCCCTGTTCCCTAGCTTGGCTCTTGTGGATACACATCATACCCCAAACATGCATGTTTAGTTGTGTATGCGTGTCCCAACTCCTGGCCCAGGGTAACCCCCAACTTTTCTGTATCCACAGCTCCCAAATGCCCCCACTCCCAAACATCCTCTGACTGCCCTAAACTCCCGGCTCCCCATCCATGACCTCTACTCTCCAGTATCTACCTGTTCACCCAAACTCAAAGATCCTGCCCACCCCCAGCAACCCTCAGTCCTCACTGTCCTTCCTCTTCTCTGTCTCTCAGACCCAGCTTCCCATCTGACCCCTACAATCTCAAGTCCCCAACCCCCACCACCCTGCCCCACCTCCTTTGACTCTGAGGTTCACAGCACAATAGCCTAAATTTCCCCTCACCCCTGTCTCCAATCCCTGGTACTCACTAACCTTCCTTCCTCCACCTGTTACCCCAAAGCCCAAATCCAAATTGCTGTGACTCTCAGGTAGGCCCATGGGTCCCTAATCCTCCAACTTACTTTACCCGTTTGACTCTGAGATTCCCAGAGACCCCAGCATAATACACTAAATCCTCTCCCACTCATATCACCAACCTTTAGCCTCTACTATCCGTCTCTTTTTCGCCTGTCACCCCAAACCCAAGTTCCCGTCTAACCCCCATACTCTCCAGTCCCCAGCTCCTCCACTCCACTGCCTGACTCTGAGATTCCGAGTCCCTAGTACCAGACACCAGGCCTTCCTAATATCCTAAACCACCACATACCGGGACCCATCTCTGACCCCCACCCCGTGACTGCATGATCCCAACCCTCAAGACCTGAACTCCGACCCCCCCCCCCCACTCGGGGCCCTCCACCTCTGACCCTCGGCAACAGCATTACCCCCTCCTGACTCTTAACATCACCCTGCCTCAGGCCCTGACCTCCGACCTCCGGCTCCAACCCCATCCCCTGACCCCCTACCCTTCTGGATCCGCAGCTGCGCCGCCGACGCCTTCTTGCTGCTGCCCTTGGTGCCGCCCGCCGACTCCTCCTCCTTCTTCTGCTGCTTCAGCGAGAACAGCTTGATCATCCTGCCGCCGCCGCCGCCGCTGCCGCCGCCGCGGGGCCCGGGACCCCGGCCACCCGGCCCCCCGCCGCCGCCCGCGTCGCCTTCGCTCCTCGGACCCGCCGCTGCGGCCTCCTCCGCTGCTGCCGCCACCCGCCCGGCCTGCCGCTCCGCTCCGCGCCCACCGCGCGGCCCGCCTCGGCTCCCGTAGTCCGGCTCCGGCCTGGCCTAGCGCCTCGGGCTCGCTCGGCAGCTCTCGGCCAAATTCGGCTGTTCTCGGGCCCGCCCGGCCCCGCCCCCACTGCCCCGGGCCGCTCCTTCCTTGCCCTCGCCCACTCTGGTCTCAGGCCCCGCTGCAGCTGCGGACTCGGGGCTCCCCGGACCGTGCCGTATGCCGCTCAGCTGATCCCTCCGCGAAGGGGCTGCGGCTAGGGTTGGAAGGAGGACGCGGCAGCCGCGGTGACGGCGGGTGGGTCTTGGAGGATCGTCTTCCGCGGCAGCAGCGGCTTTAGCGCGGAGGTCTGCAACGGCCTCGGGCGCCCCGCGGCTTCGGATATTTCCGCCGCCTGCCCGCTTTGGCTCTTCCCGCCCGGCCTGCGTTGTGCGCCTGCGCAGCTGCCGCAAACCCGCGTTGCTCAGCGATGGAGTTTGGGGTTCGGCCTCCTTCGGCTGGACTCGGGTATTTCCGTTCATGGCGGCCCTGCGGGTCACTTCCGGCGACTCTCGCGGGGCCGGGCAGGAAGCGGGGTTAGCCGCCATCTTTTAGTGGGGCAGACATGGGCCACTTTGCTCGCGGTCACTTCATCCTGTGTTGTGTATGTGCAGAGCGCGGCGGGGGTGGTCGTCTCCGCTGCTGCCGCCACCCACACGGCCTGCCTTTGACCCCATAGGTCACAGACAAGGCAGGGTGATCGCGGCAAGACCCTGAGACTAGAGGCGTTACCCAGAGGGTGCGAGGTCGAGCACCCTCACTGTCCTGTCGCAAACCCAAAGATCCCCGTTCCTGGAGATTCTGATTGAGGTAAACTAACAAAACATGTATTGTGCCAGAGAGTGGTAAGCACTGTGGAGGGTTACAGTGGTGTAGGGGAAGACCTGTCGGGGTGGACACTTGGGGAACGTGACGTGCGGGCGGAGCGTCGGCGCTATTGGCATGGGCCCCGAGTGCCAGCGGAGACGCACTGGAGTCTCTGCGCTTCCCCTGCTAGCTGGAAAAGGGGATGGAGGCGGGGTCAACTTCCCATCCAATCACAGCTCAGCGTGCCTCGGAGGGCGGGAGGAAACGGAAATCTGGGGGTCTGCGACTTCCGGCCGTCACCACGGAAACTACCGGCCCCGTGAGCGCATGGTGTGGTGGCCTTTCCCTGCGGAGGGCCCCAGGCGCCACTCCTCTGATTCTGCAGATCCTCCCCCAGGAGTGGCCTCTGGCCAAGGCTGGCTTGTCTGCTTCCCCCGAGGCCAGGCCCCTAGTCTTGGGGGTTAGGGTGACTTGAAGCAGCAGGGGGAAGTCCGGCTGCACCCCGAAAGAAGCTTGGACACACAAACTTCAAGTCTCTGTTACTGGAAATGCCCAGGCCAAGGCTAGCCTGACGTGCCCAGAGCGAGACCTTGAGTGGGGTTTAAGGCTCAAGCTGTACCCTGCTGCACACAGACCCCTTCTTTGAAACTGCCTTTCACCCTGTGTTACCTGCACCCAAGTCATCCATTGGAGGGGTGGGGGAGAGGGGCTGTGTGAAGGACCTGGACAATGGGATGGAAGGGGAAGATGGCTAG